TATATATATATATATATATATGAGCCCAAATGAGGTAGGCAATTAATGATGTTAAATTGTCCAATAATATAAATTTTAAAGGTATAACCATAAAAGAAGAATGTACAACACTATCTAAGCACATATCATCCAACACTTGTCATGTGCTAAGTAGTAGATATTCCCACTTATTATATATAGTAATATTAGTTTTAGTTCCAAAGAAAGTTTCAAATTGCTGAGCCAAATCCTATATACTCTATATATTAAATCAAACAGGCCAAATAGGCCCCAAATTTATTAAAAGAAAATGCAATGGGTATTTAGAAGTACAAAAGATCCTCAATGACAAGGTGAAAGAGATAGCCTAGTGACAGTTCCCTTCAAAGTTAAGCCTGACGTCCAGGGATCGAATCCTTGGGTTGGCGTTTTTTTTTTTTTTTTTTAGTTCCAGTTCCCATTTTCATGTTTTTTTTAGTTTTTTTTTTAATAAAACGTGCTAAAATGTGGTGTTAAACCCAAAAAATTCAAAGGTCCCATACTCCCATTCCTAAAAGCTAATAAATTTTTCACTTTCCAAATCCCTAAATCACTTTCTTGTTCTTCCCCAACACTCAAAACTCAAATATTAAAATCATCTCCCATAATATTCTATTGTTGATTGTTTCATATTTGATACTTCATGCTTGAATCTCACATTCAATTCGAAATGGAAAATCAAAACTCATGCTTATTGCTTAAAAGGTAAAAGCCTTTCTCTTCTTCTTCTTTTCTTTCAATTTTCAAGAAATTAAATGAGTCTTTATTTTTTAAGGTTGTAGACTTGTAGTATCTTTGATTATCTGAAGTGGAGGCTCAAAGATAAAATCAAAAGAGTTGATTGTTTGTCCAAGGTAAGCTTTTCACTCCATTTTCTTGAAAAGTTTGTCTTTCTTGATTGAATTGACTATCTTCATTTTAAAATGTGAATTTTTTTTTATTGTTTTTTTCTATTCTTTCTTTGATAGTCGTAACTAGATTGATGAACCATTTGAATTTTGATGGTAATATCTAATGTAATTTGTAAAAAGTCATATTTAATGCATTTAACAATTATCTATTTTGTGTAGATTCATAGTCAATGGAGAAGTACTTTTTTAAAGTATCAAATTCAAGTTCTATTGCTCAGAATCAACCGAACCGGGGAGAAAATGCTAATCATTTGGAAGTACAATCACATTCTTCTCAAGAATTTGATTTTAAGTTCTTTAAAGGTTGATCCAGGTGAAAGACCTCAAATTTCATCCAAATCATCGTGACGCTATTAGAAGAGCTTATCTCCAAAAAAAACCTTGTCAACCTCTATTAAGATAGTTTCCACAAACAAACATTTTTGGAGATGTGTGTCGTTTTAATCATAAATGGTTTGATGAATTTCCTGATTGGTTAGAGTATAGTATAAGTAAAGATGCAGCCTTTTGTTTGTATTGTTATTTATTCAAGCAAAATAACAATCTTCAAGGTGGAGGTGAAACATTTTCGAGTGTGGGGTTTAGAAGTTGGCATAAAAAGGCTAGTTTGCAAACACATGTTGGTGGGCATACTAGCATTCACAATCAGTCAAAAAAAAATGTGAAGATCTAATGCGACAACAACAATCCATACATGCTTCATTTGAGAAACAATTTAATCAAGATAAGCATGGGTATCGGATCCGCTTAGCAGCTTCAATT